CCCCCCCCCCCCCCCCCATTGTTTCAATCCCAAGGATTAACTTCCCTGCCCAGGTCGGAAGAAATGACATTAACTTTATGCGTGTACCGCAGTTTCCTCTAAGAACTGCATATTATGCAATGACCATAAACAAAAGCCAAGGTCAAACACTCAGCCGAATAGGCCTAGACCTGAGATCATCAACCTTCGCCCACGGACAACTATACGTTGCTTTGACTCGAGCTCAAAAACGATCCACCGTCATGGTTCCCTTGCCGACCTCTCAAGTGATCGATGGAACCCCTTACACTGAAAATGCTGTCTATAAACCTTTCACCGAAGCCGCAACCGGCGAAACATATAACCACAATTAAACTCCCTCAGTGCCTCCTCAGCCTCCGCCTCCTCCATTAACACCATCGACTCCAACACCTCCTCCGCCTCCACCTTCGCCCCAGTGGGTTATCCAATCCGAAATCGGTGATGGCAACTGCGGCTTTCGAGCCATTGCCCGACGCGTACTCACATTCGAACTCAAGTTGTGCTATACATTATGAACAACAGACAATACAATAACCTTCATATTCACAATAGAATAGACGGAGATGAAAGGGCTTTTCCAACACGGAGATGTAGCATGGATCAAAGCATTTGTTGGATTTCAGCTTCTACAAGAGGACATCAACGCAATAGCATTTTAGCAAGCTTACGAACGCATATAGGATACCATCAGGATTGTCATTGGTTTTATTTCAAGTTGAAGAGGAGATATTTTTACGATGTAAATGACAGTAGAAATAAGTCCTACATATGTTGTTGTACTTCGTATTGGTTTAATATTCATGTAGAGTATGAGACATTAAGTGAAAGTTTTCTGAGGTACATCTGCAATTAATTGTCGGATGGCAAAAAAAAAAAAAAGAATAACACTGAACTACTTTACAGATCAGGCCATTCCCCTTTTTATTACACTTCTTACGACGACTATGTCTACAAATGTCGATGCCCAACACATATATATGTATGGGGCAACCGGAAATAACTGCAGCAATAAATCTGTACAATATCGAGATTCGCGTGCTCTTCAACGAATCTACGTTACCTTTGCCTCAAACCCCACAATCAAACCAACCTCATCTGCGATTCAATCCTGTAGCCTGCCCTATGACACATTCATTCTTAATCCAAATCCCCCCGCACTCGCAACCGCAACTGTGACCAGGATGGACCCTTCAGCTGCATACGGCGCACCTTTGAGCTACGATGAGTTGATTCTAGCGTCCGAACAACACGACGAAGGCGATGACTACAATGCCGAACAGACGAAAACAAGACCAAGCTTCATTCCAAAACTATTGCGAAGAATAATTATTGGTTTCAAAATCAGCTGCCAATTTTAGCCCCTTCCAACTAGGGGTCGTTCTTCATGGCTCAACAAGCTAGCAGCTTTAAATGTTGTACGCGATTGTGAACAAGTAAGTGTGGATGGTTCGAAAGTACCTGACAATTTTTTGCTAGGTGGTCGTTTGTCATATCCACAGAAGTGTAGCACACTTTTACCCCGGCGGCTGCGTGTACCTGTTTTTATTGGTGGTCTTCGTCAAGGAGTTCATGAGTTTTTTTTGTTGGCTTCTCTTCGTGCGTTTGAAGTTGACGTCTTGTTTGAGAGTAGATGTGACAGATTTGCGTAGAATAGGGTAAGATGTTATCATGAACGGAGATGAAAGGGCTTTTCCAACACGGAGATGTAGCATGGATCAAAGCATTTGTTGGATTTCAGCTTTTACAAGCGGACATCAACGCAGTAGTATTTTAGCAAGCTTACGAACGCATATAGGATACCATCAGGATTGTCATTGGTAAGTTGAAGAGGAGATACTTTTACGATGTAAATGACAGTAGAAATAAGTCCTACATATGTTGTTGTACTTCGTATTGGTTTAATATTCATGTAGAGTATGAGACAGTAAGTGAAAGTTTTCTGAGGTACATCTGCAATTGTCGGAAGGCAAAAATAAATAAATAAATAAACAAGCATCCAATTGTCGGGTGTGATCTATTTATTCTGTGCACAGATGTAGTTTTGTCTTTCTTCCAGTTTTTTCCATAGAGTGTTTGACGATTATCAAAAAGAAATAAATTCACAACATGGTGATGACGACTGCGGCAACCGTAAGATTTATCCACATGCAAGACACGTCGTTTCTACAAGACAAAAGGAATAAGTCACACCGTAGTGCTGACGACTGCGGGAAATCCGTAGGATTTATCCACATGCAGGATACATCGTTGTTACAAAACATTAGTAAAGAGTCACACCATCGTGCTTACGACTGCGATAAGGAAGAAGTCACACCATGGTGCTGACGACTGCGGGGAACCCGTAGAATTTATCCACATACAGACACATTGATTCTACAAGACATTAGGAAGAAGTGACACCATCGTGCTGACGACTGCAGAAACCCCATTGGATGTATCTACATGCAAGACACATCGTTTCTACTGATGTTGTGTTAAAAATATATTGGTTAGCTGCGGATATCATCATATACCGCACACACTTGGTATGGACACATAACACTTATTCGCCCGCAACAGCAACACCTGCAGCGTGTAGCTCTATTGAGGTTGGGGGGGGCCGTGGCCTCCGCGTCCGGGGCCTTGTACACCATAGAATTGTACCACGTCGTTCACCCCTCCGTGTGCAGCTGTGGTTGCCTTGGCCGCTAGTTCCACCTCATGCCGTCGTGTGGATAGTGCACTCACTCAACCTCCAGTTTCAATTGCCATGACAGAATCGAAAAGTGAATCTGCATTGTTACGGTCGACACGGACAAGACGGCTAGGTTCTTGCAGCAGATTCAAATGCAAGCGCCGTACGTGGAAGGGACGCGAAAATGTGGCACGTCCCATGGTGACCCGAGCTGGTCCATCGAAACGTACCGAAGGTCCTTTTGTTGGCGGGTGCAGTTGAGTCACCACCTTGCGACTAATCCCGTTCCCACCACGTCACCCCGGTTGTACCGAGAATGAACTATGCTGTGAGGAGCAGGGTATGAGTTATGCACGCTCTTTCGGGAATGAAAGGAAAACAAAGATATTCATTCCCTGAATAGCATACTTCGACCGCTAAACCTTCTCGCTACAAACCCAAAATGGCAAAACAGCAGGAGATGGGTCACGGCCTGCCAAACCGCGTGCGCAAGATCCCACGGCCTTTGGCACGTCTCATGCTCTGGTGGATTCAATTTGTGAAAATGTCGAGTTCTTTCATCATGGACCTGATGCTTCTTTGAATTGTATCAAAGGGTCGGTCTATTTTGCACTCAGGCCATGTGTATCTCCTTGCCCAGAAATCCTTGCGTGCA